AAACTGTCCATCCTCCTCCCTAATCAGTTCTAAACGTCTATCATTCGTCCATCATCAGTACACATGTATGAAACTGTTTTATTTTTTATCTAATTTTAAGTTAAAGCCAGATCATTTGTTGTCCATAGAAATGTCGATTTGGTATCAATCTATGTAAATAGTACGTGATGTATAAACAAAAAATTACTAAAGTTTTATTTCAGTGTTAGTTTGGACAAAATCGGATCAGTAAAGGAAAAGGGGACGCAATATAAGATTTATCTCAAGCACAGTTAGCCGAGTGGAGGCACGAGTACTAGGAGCGCATAACAACGAGGCGTTCACGCTAAGTGTCGTTGGGAGGCGGGCCGACTCGCCAGGCATTCCCTTCCCAGCCGGCCAATCAATCTAAACTCCCCTGTCCCCCGACACGTTACGAGCGTGCACACCAACAAAGAGAAACGGTAGCCTTACCGGAGATCTTGACATACTGGTTGTTTTACTATAACTCCTAAGGAGTCGTGAACTCCTAGTAGATGACTTGTTTAGGCGGTCTCTCTAGCGTTAACTAACATTACATTAATTTTAATAAGGTGCTCAACTTCACTGGAATAGTTTCTGTGAGAAAATCAAGAAAATAATAATAACTCTTAAACCATTCAATAAATTCGAACTGATGGATGTGATGACCAAAATTTATACTTACAGTACTGTTATAAATATATGAAATAAGTATTTTAACGAAGACGCGGATATGTTAGTATAATGCACAATCCGATAATTATGCGTTGCCTAGACTAATTGTTGAGCCTAGTGGCGTTATGGTGTTGTGGCGTTGTGGCTATGTGGCGTTGTGGCGACCGTCTGCGACCCATATCTCACGGTCCGTGTTTTGTAATGCTAATGGGTGCGAGCTGTGTGGCGCTACTTATTTCACTTGTAATTATTATCTAATCCCTATCTCTCGATTTGAATACTACACGCAATGCTAATAACAGTCATTATAGAATTAATCCAGTACACCAAATTAGCCACAGTTGAGACTGATGATATTTTAAGCTGTGTTACCGAAAAATCGAAAGTTCCAAATATGGACACAAAAGTACCAGGCTCTCAGACATAGCTAGGAGGTTCTGACGGATGTTCCGCCGTTGGTACATTTATATTAATCAAAGGACAATAGTTAGTGAATCTCATGATCTAAACATCCTAGCTCCGTGTGGGAAAATAATCTTAGTCGCAATCTACATCGGGTCTAGTTGCTAATTAATTTAGTAATAGCTCGTGACGACTTATTCCATCCCTAGCCGGTACCACGAACTTAACGAAATCACGACTCTCCGAGACAACGATAATAGTTATTTTAAATTTATTAAAATGTCCTCTTTAAGGACTATATCGGGATGCCTGTATCGGACTGTATAATTTATTCCCGGCTGGGACAAAAGCTGTTTAAAATGAAAGCTATCATAGGGTTTTCATTTGAGTATACATTGTTGACTCATTTAGTTCCTGTGACCGGTTCCTGGCGTTCCTAGATCGTGATCGGGGAGCCTTTGACGGTCAATTAAAAATGAACTATCTTCGACAGTTTCTGATAGAAACGAACGATCATACTTGAATACTTAATACGATCTCGATGACAAGTATAATTGGGAATTTATTATTTATAATAAACGACTATAAATAACTACCGCTGATGTATATAGTGGTTTAAACGAAGAATTCATTTAATGTAACACATGTAAGTGTCAAATTTATTCTGACTGGATGTACCGGTGACAATAAATCGCGTTCAGTAATCCAGTCGCCATACTCGAGACCATAGTCCTTCTGGAGCTATGTTTGTCGGCGGAACGGCGATTACATGACAGCTACAATGGCCGACAAATGCCGACAACGGATCCGTTCTGTAATTTGTAATCATTCAAATATTTGACACCACTGACGTTAATGGAACTTACACTACTTTTTATAGAACAAATCCATTTTTATTATAATTAATTTTTTTTCCTTGCTTGTCTGTTCATAATCAAGATAATATTTGTATATGTACATGTAACAGATACATGAAAACAGCCCGCTGTGTTACAATATTGCGTGCGTCGAGAAGAAATAAAAACATACTAACGTACGGAATCTTCGTGAAATCAACAATACATGGAGATTATATCGATAAAATTATATTATAATCGATTGAATGAATATCGAGCGATTATTTTGAATCGATTTCGAAAATAGTTTGTTTGCACGTTGTAGGTTTTAAAATCAAATCTTTTATTTTGTTTCAGCTTTATGTTGGCGTAAATTTATGGAAATTTTATTATGTGTGATGACACATTTTCATTATGTCATTCTGTGGAAAATGTCATTAAAATTATTTTTATTTTCAAATCGTTAAAAACTAAAATTATAGTTTACTTAAAAAGTTGCTTTCATCATTGTGCTTTAATTCTTCTTACATTTACATGACGTATTTCTAATTATTTGTTTAATTATAAAAATTGTCGAAGTTATTTTAGCTTTGTGTTTTCGTGATTTCTTATAGGAGTTAGATTTTGAATTAACGTCGAAAAAGTTTCGAGTTAATTAACTATTGTACTGTCCGGTAAAGTTAAACAAATAGATTATTGAAATTTCCCGTTTCGTGGCGCTAAACTGAATAGTTAAACTAGGATTAGATTAACCCTGGATAAAAGATTTAGTAACGAAAACTAATCAATTGAATTATAATAAATTATTTATAAAAATATTTCTTCTTTTAAATTTTGCTTATTTACGTTTAATAAATATTTTATTTAAGTTTAAAAAATATTTTAAAACTTATTGTTTTCATTTTTATTTCTTTTCAATTTATTATAAAGCGGCCATTTATTTCGATTTTTATATGAAAATGGATATCGACAGATTTGTAAAGAAACTTTTTCAGATAATTAGATTTACTGATACTTTTTTTTAACCGTAAGACTTCTCTACACAAAATTTATTTAAAATCGTACTTAATTATTTCTCTTCCGTAATATTTTACACTCAAATTACTTTTATGTGATGTAGGATAAAGCGACTTCTATCACAAAATAAAAATGAACCGTTTCAATTTGTACTATTTCATTATTATTATAATTTTCCTTATACAAAATTTTGATTTATGGTTCGTAAGTACAAAAGAACGTAATAAATGATTATGTATTCGATATTTTAGAAGTAGGTAAATGTATACTTTTATAGGTATATAAAAATCATAAATATCGTATGTGTAAAAGTTTGAAAATTCATATTTTTAGTTCTAAAGTTAGTATTTTTTTACGGATACCGTATAGTAAATCGAATTTACTTCCAGGTGTATTTTTTCCAGGTCAAATCAATTATATATTACATCCTACACCTGGATTTATTGTACGAAATAAGAAATGTGTCTCATACATATTGGAATTGCTTAATAAGCCAAGTGCTTGACAAGTATGGACTTAAGCACTGTTATTTATACATATGTTATTTTTACTTATCTGTATTAAAACACTTCGTTATATCAATATATGCAACTGTCTTAAAACCTTTTTAAAAATAATTTTGTGTTATTAAAAAATATATATAGGCGTTCTATCCGAAAGGATTTTGTTCTGTAAAATAAAAAATAAAAAACTAATTTTAGTCCTATAATACTTTATATACTGAGTCAAAAACTAAATTAAATTGTCAACATGATCGTTTCCACAATAGATACAGTCTCGTAACATATTTTTTTTATATAATAAAGTATATTTTAGCAGACTTTAGCGTTATTAAAATTCCTCAGTTGACGGCTAGAAAAAAGCCTGTTTGTAACAGACACCGGCGACAACGTGCGGCTATATTAATTAAAAATACGAGGACTTCTACATAATATCTCAATGCATTGAAATTCAAAATGCGTCCATATTGCTTTTATATTGAAGATACATGTGATTTTTGATATTAAACCGATATAGATATCGTAGATTTACTATCTGTGGACATTGTTTGAAAATTTTAATAATTCTAGGAAAATTATTGAGTTAAATTAATTTAAGATAAAATAATTAATAAATGAAACACGCAAAAACTTTTGACTTCGGATTTTGAGAATTAAAATTTTGCATTTGCTACCGACAGCGCCATCTCTGGACGGATTTTGGAAGCTCCTTCTGACAGCTGATATAAATTGTTTTCTTTGGCTACTTTATTATGTTTAATATTTAATTAAATGTTAATAACGTATGATTTAGGAGTTGTAAATGACATTATTATATTAATTTTTGTTTATATGTATCGGTTACGTTATACTCACGAGACGTCTGTGAACAGATGACATCTGTCAAAACTTTCATCACAAATGTTCACAAAAACACATAAAAATTGTCCAAATAACACATTTTCAACTAGAAAAAACTGAAAATATGCTTGTTTGTGTAAAAAATATACATATCATTGTACTTTTAGCAATATTCCATTTGTTTTAGTTCATAACAAACATAACCTAACCGTATGAAAAATTTTCTTTTGATATTACAATATGATTGTGTAAAATATTTATTTGTTAAATTTAATTTATGAGTCACCTATAATAGAATCATCTTGAAATATTGTTATATTAAAATGTACCTTATTGGTAATATTTCTTTTGTATTTTAACATTACCGGATCCCAATTTCTGTCTGAGACAAGTTACTCATTATTTTTGTAACAGCTCTTTATATTTGTATAACAAATACTATCAATATATAAAAATTTTAACAAATATAAGTTTATAAAAAACAATATAAGTTATGCCTATACAAGATTTTTGTCAGTATGACCTGAAACGAGGTACAATTTTCAAGCGTTTGTAAAAACTTGGTTCTAAATATTATGTTTACAACTTAATACTTCAATAGAATATTATTTATTTAATGAACCTGTCACTAAAGTAATAAATATAAGACACTTTCACATCATAGTACTCAACCATCCTAGCTCCTAACACTGAACATGGAATATTGCCAAAAGTTGTCTTCACAACCCACCTTCTTCATGATGCCGGTCTTCCGCTTTGAGAATGTGGTGTATCGCCGGAGTTTGTTATCTATGTATTCCATTTTAATTTTAACACGACCCTTGGTTTTCTTGCCGTTGGAAGGTGGAGACTTCTTGGGCTGCAGGGAGGCATAGCCGTCGTCTGCGATGTCGGGGATGGGGCAGTGTTCGAGTCCTAGACTCTGTGAGGGTCTCTCGTCGTAGCACTGGTCGGAGGGTCGCTTAACACCAGCCCTTGGGACTGGACAGCTTTGCATACCCTGCCGCAGCCCGCCGCCTCCGCTCAGAGAACTTGGCGGCCGGCCGGCTCCGTACATATCCGGAACATCTCCCAGGAGTCCCATACTGTAAGGCGACCCGAAGCGGGGCTCCCGCGCTCCGCCGGGCGCGTCCATTATAACCTCGCAGTACGCCACAGTAACCGGTGCGCACACGCGCTATACACACCTCACCGTTCGAACGTCGAACGGAGACTGACCGAAAACGCGAAAGAACCGAGGGCGGGACTGACGGCTCGGCCGCTCGGACCGCAACTGACTTCGCACGGTTCCGTCCCGCGCACCTCGAGAGCTACACGTCTCGCTCTAGCACGCTACAAGCATACGGAACGCGACAAGGATGGAAACAACGGCTACAGGGTAACCCGACACATCCGTAGGAAACCGGGAAGCCGCGAACGTTTCAGTGCCCGAAATCTGTATCAAAATAGAGCTTTTATTTTGAGTTTATTTCGTAAATAGAAATAATAGAGTCGGAAGCTGTGTCGCGGGAGAAGCGGCAGGCGGTGGGCTGGCCGCGAGCCATATTTAGAACCGAGCCGTGCCAAATATGGCAATGGCGGTCAAATGGGGGCCACTGAAATCCCTCCTACTCGCAGCTGGCGATTTTCACGTCTAATAATTAAAAACTTTGTCACGTAGTTCATGGTGCATTACATACTTATGCGTTGACATATTATGCCTATAGATAGATAGCAATATTACAGGTCTGCCCGAGTGTACCAACTACCAACGACGAATAAACAGACACATTATAATATATTATCATGTTTTTCTTGTTAATTTTCCATTACTCCGACTTAAATCGTAACATTAATTACATAAAGAATTATTCTAAATCTTACATTACACTTTAAAATAATGACAATGTACAGTTTTTATTCTTATTAAAATACTTAAATCCTTTCCGTCTTTAAAATGTTTTGCTAAAGTTGCAATCGATGTTTTTTACTAATTTTTGAATGTAGGTAACACTAGCGTTAATGGAATATAGAAAATAAGAAAACTAACTGTAAAACTTAACAAATGTCAGGCGTAGGTAGTATATTAGTAAAGGATATAAAATCTAAATGTTTATAACCACATCTACAATGTGTTAGTTTCCTTCGAATGTTGTTTCGATGTTCGCCCACAGATTTGTTTTATTTGCTATTTTTCCCATTTTAAGGTAATTTTATTACAATTCAGTCCATTGAACCGTATATGCCACAGATTATATATTTTATACCGGACTTTTGCACACGGACCTTTTCACATGTCACAATATTTTGACAATTTCATTGTAATCTGCATGAATAGCTGTAACTTGTAAAATATTCAATTGGGCAAAAATATTAAACAGTTCCAGAACAAATGAAGAGAGATCATGAACAACTTTATTCGTTTTATATAGAGATTATTTCTGAATTATTAAAACTTTGTCAAAATTAAATTACTTTAACCAGCCAATTAGATACACATTATAATATAAAGAATAAAAGTCATATATATAACTTTTACTGTATTATGATTTTATATTTAAAATCTCATTATTTTTCGTACTATTGTTAAATTTACCTTGTAAAAAAAATATTACAAGAAAATTTGATTTCTTTTTAAAGTTGCCCTATTGAAATCATTCAGCCAATCTCAAACCGGTTTTATTTTATCTGTTGTTACAGATCATATCATTATCCCATTTGATACCTGGGTTATCAAATTATCGCTAATATGCAATAATATAGCTGCTTCATAAATATAGAAGACGTAATATAATATTGCAAATTATAATGTTCGACAATTGATCTGTATTGTATATCAAAATATTACAGATACAATTTATTTTTTCTGAATATACATATTTGTAATACTATTTTTGTTCTAGATATTCTTTTGGTTTTGTTTCATAGACTTAAAACTATTGAAGTTACTAAACATCCAATGAAATTATTCTTCTAGAAGTTTAAATGTGAGAATATTAGCAGATTTCGATTCAATATCTTTAGATTCTATACTATTTGTTATCAGTGGTTGCCTAGTGATTAAAAGCCCCTCATCTCGTACACGAGGGCCCGAGTTCGATCCTGGCAAGTACCAATGTGATTTTTCCGAGTCATAACTCATATGTACTTTCTAAGAGTATTTAGACACCGCTGACTGACTGTGAAGGAAAACATCGTGAGGAAACCTGGACTTAGAGTTTCACAATTATAAGTTTGAAATCACCAACCCGTCTTGAGCAAGCGTGGTGATTAATGCATTCCCAAATAGGGTTGATGTCAGGCTGGTCGTAAAAACAATTAGCCAAAACTATTTACAACATGTAAGGCAGAGCCTGGCTAAAGCTGGGAAATTGCCAGGTAGAAGAAGATTATTTGTTATCTTGTTATAATAAACAAATAATTTCTCAATTTAAAGGTTTAAGCTTTAACAAAACTATATATGTAATTTAAAATATTATAGATCTTACTTATTTTGCAGACTAAATATACCCATTCCCTTTATATTTTCCGAGCGATGGGTCCTTTCAACCACACATTAAGTATATTTCAAAATGTTACCATATGAATAATTAAATTTTTTGAAGTCATTTTACAATAATTTATCCCACTTATATAAACCATTTTAAACAGAGATCGGTAGAGTTGTAATGGTTTATATCTTTGGTTATTTAAATATGGAGAATAATTTTACTAATAAAAGCATAACATACATATCTAGTAAGTATTAACTATAATATTTGAACGGTGAACCTATTGAAATAAATAACCTTCATGTATGTATTTAATGAGAAATTTGCAAGAAAATGTCAAAAAACTATAAACTATACGAAGAATATAAGAACATTATGAAAATGGTATATTAATTTTCTTTCCAATATATTTAATTCCTATATACGTCCATTTTAGTCAAAATTATGTTGTTCAATTTAATTGCGAATTAATTTTAAATGAAGTTTCTTTAACAGTTATATGTTTTAAATTTAAACATTCAAAACATATAACAAATTTAAAAATAGCTAAATAGATATTAAATATATAATCGATATATAATAATAATGTTAATGTTATATTAAACATCTAAAAAGCGATTTCCGTGAATGCATCTACTTTCTAAACGCAGCTGGCGCGCATTCCGTCGTTCGCGCCAAATGCGGCGTGTGCCGTTGACGGCTGACGCAACGCCAATCGCCGTTCAGTGTCACAGGTTTACCACCTTCAGCATTGAATAGGAATTTTTCAGTTATTTGTTAATAAAATTGAATTCATTGTTGTTACAGTCAGAAATATTTAGTTTATGTGTTCTTAAATATTTATAACGTGTCTTATGATAGTTTTATATCATAAAAATATCATTGTTCTGTTTGAAGTTACATTTGTTTTTTTATATGCAATAAGTATAAGTGTTTAGAAAAAGAAGATTTATTATATTTGATTACTAAAGAGTTCTGTTTAACTTTTGTGTACAGCTATTTATCAAGATCCATGAGTAGCTTTGTAGATGAAATCGACAACTATGTACAAATCAGCTTACGTCATCTTAGGTCTAAAAAGTACGATTAGATCAATGAAAATTTTAATGCAAGGAGGTTTTATGCAATAATTAAATATAGGACATCGAAGATTTAGTTTTAAATGTTCTTATTTTGTTTATAAACGACTGTGTGTACTTTGTAATAGAAAGATACCTAAAAGGAAGCATCAGAAATACTTTTGTCATAGAATATTCTTTAAATTACATGTTTTTTTTCTGTAAATCTAATTAGTATATTAAAATAATTGGTGACTAAACAAAAATGTCGAAATGTTTCTCTCTATTTCAATTTTAGGATGATTTTTATTCTGTTAAACATTATTTAATATAATTACACTAATACTTTTAATAAACCGTTTCAATTGTTTAGTCGAATTATTCCGTATTAATATTGATTCCATCCTATAATAAATAATAATAAATACTATTAAACAAAGAATCTATTACAGAACGCAAGGACATTACCAACTTTGTGACACGTCTATTATATCGAGATTGTTCACGACAAGTAGGTATATATTGTTTTAAATTTTAAATAGATAACATTTTAAATTAAATAAGAAGACAGACGTGGCCATATTTAATTTTAAATTCTGAAACAAAAATTATAAAAACCCTATTTATTTAACTTGTTAGGTTTATGGTATAAAAATAAATGAGCACAAATAAAGTAAGTTTTATATTGTCGGTTGGGAGAAATAAATAATTTTATTATTTTAGCAACATATAACTAAAATAAATAGATACTAAAAGATCAAACTTCTCATCATTCAATTCACCGTGCGGGTGTCGGGTCTATCGTTGCAGGGAGAGGAGCTTCAACAGTACCTGAGACTTACGACCCAGGTGTAGGTTTAAGGGACCCCTATCTAACGCGCGTTATACGCTCACCTCCACTGTCAAAGCTCCTCTCTCACCTAACCAAATTTGAAATAACCTACTAGGGCTGCTTAGTACGTTCCAATGATGATATATCTTCAGTTGTATTACCATTTATTATTTGGGTATAAAGTAAGGATACTTTCGTAGTTTTTTAGAGCACGCCTTATTTTTGTTTACTTGTATAGTACTGTCAGTTGAGTTGTCTAGTAGCATTGTACTCCAGTTACCGCGAGATTCATGAAAGGATGCTTAATAAACTAAAGAGCTCTTTAAGCTAGTCCTGCATTTTCCATCACCACGCCGACAATGATATTTTCAACAGTTTTTTACTGTATGATAATAAAACCTCGTAAAAATTTACGTTTTTGGTCTAAAATAACAAACTTACAACTTTTTTCAATATGGTATAGGTACATCACTTTTGTTTTTAATATATTATATTTACAATACATATTGCATTAATCCATAATTAAAATATAAGTATTTTTCTCTATGTAATAGTTTCATTGTGTTTCGCCATCTTTTTTGTGGCGTCCTGAATATCAAATCATCTTATTTCCTAACAAAACAAAGGAAGCTGAACATCTTTTTACATATATAATTTATTTTAATTATCTCTATTCATCCGTCATTAAGTCGTAGTTAATAAGATTCCGTATAAAATTTACGATGTAACATTTCAATTATTCGTCTTAATTATTTCTTTGTTAGGACAAAATGCA